GTTCAACATAGCGGACTCCATGGTAGCCATGGAGTCTGTAGATAAAAGTGACTCATTCTAAGGTAACGAAAACATAATGATTCTTATATTCAGGTGATTTTACACAAATGAAAACATACGTATGGATAGTATATTATATTCTCTCAATAGATCCTCCTAAATGTTTCACACTGAACCTTTAAGTATACATTCGAAAGAATACTTTAGTTTAGTTTAGTTAGTATTTCAATTTCATGCAACTTTATACTTCTTCAAATTGAACTTTTTACTCCACTACATTTGTCTGACAGATTTAGTTACTGTTACTGTACAGTTTTTCATACTCTTCCTTTCCAGTAAAAACCACGTACCTCCAAATTTGGTGACTATTTTAAAACCTTGTTGTACTTGTGGTTCTCACAGTGACGTTAGAAACATTAGATGATCTTATAGGATATGATGCATTGCTGAATATACTACCCAACAGTATATAAAGTAGTTTAAATTAGCTCAAATTTACACAGCATTTAACATACACATACAGTAATATTAATTCAAAAACATCAATAATACTTTCTGCATTTACTTTGAGTACATTTTGCAGATAATACTTCAATACTTTTACTCAAGTAAAGTTTTGAATGCAGGACTTTTACGTGTAGTGGAACATTTTCACAATGTGGTATTGATACCTCGAGTAAATGATCACAATACTTCTTCAACTGCTGTGGGTCAGTACGAACAGTTTCATTCGTGCAGGTTTCAAAAGATAGTCCTGTGGTTTCAGAAGCTTTTTCACAACACCACTACTTTCAGTTCCAGTTTTGGCCAGAAGAGGGGGCAGTTGTCTCTTCATCTACTTAAATCTCATATTGCTCATTTGATAAAAGAATGTACACTCACTGTAACAATTGATTCTAAGTGTGTGGTATATAAAACTGTAGGCTTTAATAAGCATCTTCTGCTCTCAGTATGTTTTTAAAATAGCTGCACAAATCCAAACTCACCAGCAGAGTTTGCTCTTTGCATCGCTCACAAGCATTTGGCCTTGAGGACAGCAAATGGTGTGATCTCAGATTACATTTCAGGGACGCCCTGCGAGCTGCCCTGCAAAAATGATTATGTCATGACTGAAAAAATACAGAAGATATAAGGTCAAGATGTGGGAGTCTGTCCAGGAATCTGTGTGGTATTATGCTCATAATAATAAATGATCATCTTCCTTAAATTAAATCCCGCCCTCAGACCAAACCTTATTTTACCTTTAAAATATGATTCTGGGAAAAGGAGGGAAAATTAAAAAAATAATAATTTTATTGTAAGACTGAGAAGCCAGAAGGAGATTTAGTTTTTTACAAAGTTCTGTGCGTGTACAATTTAACGACCAGTATGTTTTAATGTTAGACTGCAACCAAATAAGATTCAAATTCTGATTCATACTTGCTTAACTTGACGCAAACTGTTAGCGGAGCACTGAAATAACACAAATTTAGAATGAAACTTCATGAATGCTGTACAGTAAAAAACAGTATATTATAAAAAGTGCTGAATCTACGGAAGCCGAGAACGGCCATGGATTTTTAAAAAAATGTATGCACTGTTATATCATGATAACGACTTATTATCTCGTTATCTCGATATAACTAAGATCGTTTTCTCGTGATAACTTAATAATGTGTTCGTCTTGATTTCAACCTACAAGAGCTGCCACAACGGCTTCCAGTCAAGTAAA